TCTGCCCCTGCCCAGCCCCACAACATCCAGGCGTGGTGCAGGGCCCAGGTTCATGGAAAACTTGATATTGAGGCAACAATCTCTTGTTTCAGGCCTGGATCCATCCCACTGTCTTCCTTTCTCCATCATCTTCCAAACCAAGTTTGTCTCATTACCAGTACGAATCCCCTGTTTTCCTGCTCCTGCCTCTCCTTCAATCTTGCTTCTTTCTCGAGACTACACCAGTTTTTCCCATGGAAAAATCCACTTGGGGATTGTTGTGGTCATCCCTTCTTCCAGTCATCTTGGATGTGGCATTTCCTCCTTTCCACGCTCTTACTCCTCTCTAACTTCCTTCTCCACACGGATCCTTATTGCTTTTCCCTTCCCTTAGACTCCTCCATTCTGTTCTCCTTGCCTTGGTAAAGCTCCAGTTGGGAAACAGCCCAGTTTTCCATCTCTCCCAGCCTCTTCACCTCCCAGCCCTAATGAATGAGTTTTTTCCTTCCTTCTCCTAATGCTCTTTTCTTCAGCTTGGCTGTTTGGGACTCATCAGATGCAATTAGTGTTCGAATCCAGCAATCTGGTGATTGGAGGGATGAAGGAAAAGCTTCTTTGGAGCCAATCCCTCCTTCCAAGTGGACTTCCCAGGTCACTTGGAGCAGCTGGCTCCAACTGCAGTGGTCAGGGTTGTCCCAAAGCTGAATCCCTAAAATCAGTGGTGGTTTCCCCAGCAGAGTTAACAAAGTGTGGAGAGCTGCTCAGTGACACTTCGGTGGTGTCACCTGCCAACCAATGTCCACCTTGCTCCCTGAACTCTTAATATTCCTACATTTTATAAAAATTCCCTCTCAAAATGAAGTGAAATAACTTCCTGGGCTTTTTGAATGTATTTACTGCACTAGAACTGGTTTAAGAGGTGCAGGTTTAGACCTTTAGCAAATGGTTTGGTCCTTGCCAACTTCAGGCATTCGAAAGCCCCATCTCTCAGGCTTCAAAAATCTTAATCAAAGGAGGGGGGGGAATTAGGGATTTTTTTATAAAATTTCTGATTTAAAACTTGTGTCGTGGTGGACGTGAGGTGGGAAGTTTTTGAGACAAGCAGGAAAAGAAAAGGAAGCAGAAGTGTTGGTCTGTGTGATGGCATTTGGTGGTACCGGTTTCAGGGTGGGGCGACATCGCAAACATTGTCCTTCTGCTGAGATAATGTTGTTGATGCTGAAAACAAACCCTGGTGGCAAAATAAATAGCAGGAATTCTTGAGGAAGAGGGATGAAGGAAAGGCAGAGTGGTGCCCAGAGGCATAACAGAGCCCTGAGTAAGGTTTCTCTCCCGGTAACAGTGTTTGGTCCTGGTTTCGTGTTGCGGGATTTTAGGAACTGTTGTGTAATGTATCCCTGTGTCCAGCTTCCCCTGGATTTTTGGGATGCTCCATCAGCCAGATCAAGGAAGTGCTCTGGAGGAAAAAACCTCAACAAACCAGACAATTTGAAAAAGCTGGATTTGTCCTCTAATCCGGGTCATAGCATAGGGATATGTGGATGACTCCCCATCCCTGGAAGTGTCCAAGGCCAGGCTGGATGGGGCTTGGAGCAACCTGGTCTTGTGGAAGTTGTTCCATGGCAGGGGGTGGATCTGGATGATCTTTAAGGTCCCTTCCAATCCAAACCATTCCATGATTCTATGAATATCCCAAACCAGTACTGCACTGAAACCAGTGGGAGAAGAATGAAAACCCTTCAAAAAGCTCATTTCTCTGTGCTGAGCTGCAAAGGGAGCCCATAGGATAAGAGGAAGCAGCCTTAAGTTGCACCAGGAGAGGTTGAGATTGGATATTAGGAAGAATTCCTTCACCAAAAGGGTTGTCGAGCACTGGCTGCCCAGGGCAGTGTTGGAGTCACCATTCCTGAAGGGATTTAAAATCCCTGTGGATGTGGCACTTGGGGACATGGGACAGTGGTGGCCTTGGCAGCGCTGGGGAATGGTTGGACTGGATGATCTCAGAGGTCTTTTCCAACCCAAATGATTCTGTGATTCTGCCACGTTTGGTGGGATGAATCCCAGCGGACTCTGTGATCCATGTGCTGTAGATCCCAGATCTACACCAGTGCTGTAGATCCCAGATCGGGGACAGGCTGTAGGAAGGTTGAGGATCACAATAATAATCCTGCAGTTGATTTTTAGTGATGAATTTGCCTCAACAGTGTTCTTTGGCAGCCCCATGTAATTAAACTAATTAACCTCTCCTTGCTAATGGCCCTTTTCCTTAGGGGGAGCTGAGGTTGAGGAGTCCCTGCTCATTGTCAGATGCTCTCTGTGACCTGTTTGCCCTCATCCCACACTTCCTGACCCGCAGGAAAGAGTTCACAGATTGGCTACAGCAATTTCCAAACTGTAGAAAACACAACCCTCATTAGTTCCCTCTATCCAGTCCTTGTGTTGGGAATTTGGGAGATTGGATTTAAATCTATAGCAACATTTAATTTCATGTTCCCAGCAGGGTGGTGACTGTAAGTGGGGAAGCGACTTCATCACGTTGAATCTGAAAGTAAAATGCTTTTGTTAGCGGTGGCCTCACAGCGGTGCCTCTCCCAGACTCATCTTTGCTCTTTCAAAAGCTGCTGCTCTTCCACTTCATGGTCAAATCCCTCCATCAAACCTACAAGCAGAGGCTGCAAACCCAACAAAATTCGTCATCGAGGCAGATTAACCATATCCAGGCTGTAAATGCCCAAATCCACGGGGCAAGAGCAGCAAAGCCAGGCTTAAAAGTGTCTTATTCTTCAAGCCACACGTCTTAGGCTACTTTACAGTTTCTGGAAGCATTGAGATTTTGAAAATGCACATCCCAACACTTGGAAAAATGTAGGAAAAAATGAATTCAGTCATTTTTGAAGGGGGGAGAAGATCAAGACAAACCCCTCATTGTTGCCCAGACTAACAAGCACCACCACGACTCTCTTGGGCTCAGCATTAGAGTCGTGTTGGCCAAGGACAGGAGGAAGGACTCCTGCTTGGGGTCATGGTGAAAGCCTTGGAGAAAGGCTCTGGAAATGCTTCACAGGGTTTGAAAACCAGCACTTTGCTTATGCAGGGCTTACCCAGCAGTTGTTCTTCTCAACATCTTCCTCTCAGCCTCCGAAAAGTCGGGATGCGCTGCGGATTCATGTATAATGTAGCAGCTCACAAAATATGTTCTCCCCTGCTTTGCTTTTCGTCTTAAACCCCCCCAAATCACTATTTTCTGGCAGCTTTTTGGCTTTGGCTGTTTTTTTTTTTTTTTTTTTTAAATTTTGCTGCATTTTTGGCTGAAAACTCTTTGGCCACACGTTGCTGAAGACTCGCATTTCCAGCCCAAAATTCCCATCTTGGGGCTGTTGGGTTTTGTTCATGCATTTGGGGTTCGGGGTTTTTTTTTGGGAGGAAAAAGAGCAAATATTGTGAGGGAGAGTAATTTGAAGTAATTTGAAGAGAGAAGTTGTTCCCCATGAACAGGTTTGTTTAATTTTTAACCCCGTTTCTGCTTGAAACCAATTTTGATGGAGGTTCTCCAAACTATCACTATTATCAACCTGAGACTTATGAGGCAGCAGCACTCCTCCTTGCTGCTTATAGTAACATCTCAATTACATAGGTCCATGAAAAACTATGGAGAGCATTAATCAAGGGTTGGAGGAGGCAACAAAAACTAATCCGTGGTTATAATAAACCTTATAGTCCAAAGGTTTTTATTGGAGTGGGGTGATGTAGTTTGCACAGACCCTGGAGAAGGAATTAATTGTGTTGGGCCACCACCACGCTGATATTTGGGTTTTCCCCAGCCAAGTGAGGGTTCCCAGCATCAAGGATTTCGTGCTGGATGTGGAAAATGCTGGTGAACTGGGTAAAAATGGAACTGAGGGATTTCCCGAAGGACTCAAAGGTGTTCAGTGGTTTCTCGCTTGTCTTTTAGCTGGAAAGGGTTTAAGCCCAATGGTTGGATCCAATCCTTAATTTAAACCCAATGGTTGGGTCCAATCCTTAATTTAAACCCAGCAGTTGAGTTCAATCCTTAATTTAAACGCAATAGTTGGGTCCAATCTTTAATTTAAACCCAGCAGTTGAGTTCAATCCTTAATTTAGACCCAGTGGTTGGGTTCTGACCAACAATTGGGTTCAGCTTTTCATTTAAACCCAACACTTGGGTTCAGCCCTTCATTTAAGCCCAGCAGTTGGGTTCAACCCTTCATTGAAGCCCAGTGTTGAGTTCAAT